GTACTGCCTTATGTGTATTTATTAAATTTGAAAAAATGCAGGTATATTGTTGTGACTTAATTTAAAAATGTTTTGGTGGTTTCTGATAGTTTCATCTCTGCTAGAAAGCTCAACAGWCGTTGTTTATTTTTATATTTTTATCATTTAATAAAATATTTTAGTGGTGTTATATCCAACAATAAGGGACACCAAAATAAAATAAATAAATAAACACTAAATAAAACTATAATGCCTTTAATTTTAAGGTTGCAATCATGAGATTGTTTTTTTAATCACTAGTTTCTTTCTGATAGAAACTTAAATAACACGTTACAGGCAATGCTTTTTGTTTTATTCAGTGGAGTTTAATAAACTGTTACAACTAAATTYAACAAATGACTCAAAATGATTCATCACTAGAACAGTGTTTGCATTTTCATGTAATTTCGTGGTTAAAACAATTCACACATTTAACACAATTTTAATGTGATTTATTTGTGTATTAAGTAAAATCTAACACTCCAAATTACAGTCAGTTTGGGGATTTTATTCTTACTTTATTCCTACTTTATTTTACTTCTTTATATATGATTCTTTGTTTTAGCTGAAACTGTCAAATGATTTCTCTGAGGGCTGATCCTGATAAAAAAAAAAGATCTGTTTAACAGTTGAATATTTTTAAAAAATATATCTTAATTCTCCATGACTTCGTTTTCCCTGATCAGCTTTAATTTTTTTCCTTTCCCTGCTCGTTTCTTGCAGAAGTCCAAGGTTGAAACCTTCGTACAGCAGAGCTTGTCTTCGTTTCTGCATCGACATTGCTTCTTCTTTCCACTTCTCACCTGCAACAAGCAGATCAATAACAGATTAGGAACTGAAATAAAGAGAACTGAAAGTCAAGCAATTTATTTAGAGAGATTTAGACATTTCAGTTCTTCAAACCCTGTTTGATCACATGAAGCTGGATTAAATAGGGGCTTTTGTTTTGTATTTCTGTACATCAGATTTCAAACAAAGCAAAGCTGCTCTCTCTCTCTCATTAAATTTTCACAAAATAATCATTTGAATAAGGCCTACAACTGATTAACATTTGGAGTCAACCAGATTCAAGACAGCTGCCATAGCTAACTGACCTTAAAATACACTAAAATTTGTGTAATTGAATCAGTTTCACAGAAATGAAGCTAAGATTTAGCTTGATCATACATGAAAGCCATCACATACTCAGAACACAAGATTATTGCTTCAAACTTTGGCATAAATTGTTGAAGTTCTAATTGAATCATGTGCAACTAATTACGTTTAGCTAAACGCAAAAACAGCTACAACTCTGTCCGTTTTACAAAGGTTGAGCTAAAGTTTAAGGTGGCATTAAACTGATAATCAGGCCCAACAGA